CACCACGTTATAGCGTCCCAGTGTGGGATACAGGAATACATTCTTGTATATGTACACAATGAAATATTGTACTATACAGCCATGAAGCACGTGACAACCACATACACACACAGATGAATCTTAAGAACATGTTACTGAGTGATAAGAGATCACAGGGAAAATAAATTCCAAAGGACTCTATTTAGATAAAGTTTAAAAGCCTGTAAAATTAATACGTAATATATTATTCAGAGTATAAACATATGTAGTAAAACTGTAAAGGAAAGCAAGGAATGGTGAACACAAAATTCAAGAGTGTGGTCACTCAGAGGGCAAAGGGAAGGAAGGGGGTCGGTGACGAGAAGGTCAAGTGTCGGGAGGGTGCAAGTGTTCCCACGGCCCAGGCCGCAGTGTGAGCAGCGGCCAGCGCACGTCTAGGCAGCGGAGAGGCCGGCACAGAGGAGGGCTGAGCGCGCGGTACCAGCGTGACTTTCCTGCTTTATTTTTGCCTTGGGCTGAAGTTGCCAAAATTATAACATGGAAATTAGGGCCATCTGTTGACCAGGCTAAGTTAGTGAGCTGGACAGAATTTACCAAAAGAAATTCAGAGTAATTTATTTTAGACTCTGCTTCAAATCATGGAAACGTATAAATAAAAAGCCTACTTAATTTGAAAGAGAAAAAGCTGTCATTTTATCATTATTTACAATGGTAAAAACCTGGAAATAACTTGAGTAACCATTAACACAATACTGGTTAAATAAAATAGGATACATTTATACTGTGGCATATTATTACAATAGTTACAAAAAATTAAATAGACCAGGCAGAGAAAAATGGATCAATGGAACAAGATAGAATTGTTAAACAGATGCCACTTAGTACAGGTTAAAGACTCATTTAAAAGTAGAAGAGAAAAATGAACTAGTCAATAAATGGTTTTGAAACACCTGGATGCCCACTGCCCTATCTAAAATCATTTGCAAATGCTTTAAATCCAGATGGTTTAAAGAACTAAAACAATTAACATGAAATATGGTTGAATATACACTATGAACCGGTATAGAGGAAGCCTTCTTAAAAACACATGAGATTACCAATCCTCAGAAGAAAAAGAGGAGTACGATTATATGGAAACAATAATCATATGAAACATAAAACTTCTATAAAGACACCAATAAAACAAAACAAAAAAACCTTCTATAAAGAAAGTTTAAAGACAGCCTGTAAGATACTTGCTTGCAACTTAAATAACAGAAAGGGTTAGTAACACCCATACAAAAATGCTACAAAATCAATTTAAATAAACAACACCTCAAAATCAAAAGAAAAGTAAGTTAATGATATAAACAGGCAACTCACAGAATAGCAAATAGAAATATGCAATGAATGCATGGTAAAATGCAAATTATATCTACTATGCAATGTAACCTTTCTTTATCCAAGTGATAAAAACATAAGACTTGAAAAATATCAAGTACTGGTAAGTGTGCAGTATACTCTCCTATACTGTAATGCAAACCAGGATAAGTTGGTATTGATATTTTGAGGGGCTATTAAGTAGTATTAATAGAAATGAAAATGGGCATCCATTGTGTCCCAGGGATTCCATTCTTAAGAATCTATCCTAAAGAAATGCTCACATATACGCACAAAGATATTCACTGAAACATTATTTGTAAGAGTGAAAAATATAAAACACCAACATGTTTATCAGCAGGGAAATAAGCTAAAACATCCAGCCAATGAAAGAGTTAAAAAATATACGGTAAATCTCTAAATAATGACTGACATGCACTGAAGGACTGTCAAGTGATATTATTAAAAAAAGTTTCACAAAAATACAGAAAATTGTCCTAAAACATCAAGTCATTTCGACATACTTCTACAGATACATGCACGTACTTAAATGCACAGAGAAAGGCCTGAAGAGTAACCAACAAATTAATAATAAAAGTTACCTCTGGGGTCTGTTTAAGTATACGGAACAGTCAAGGGGGATTTTAACTTTATATTGTTTGAATTTTTAAAAATAAGAATATGTAATTTAAAAATAAATAAACCTGATAATTATGATGCCTAGCATAAATTATATACTAGGGGTACGGGTAAAGTCCGTGGGGACACTGTGAAAGGAGAAAATTAGTGTGCAGAAAGATTTCATGGCAGCGGCGACGCCTGAGCTGGGCCTTGCTGCCTGAATAGGGCGCTGACAAACATCCCTAATTTGGAGGTGGGCTGTGGCAGGCTGCATTTTTCAAAAGATGAGTCTACAAACACACATCCCACCCCAGAAGCTTTTCTTTCAATAAGATACTGACACTTGTGCGTGGAGAGGTGGGGGTCTATGTCCTCCCCCCAGAACTGGAGCAAGACTTTGTAACTGCCTTGATGAACTGAATGAGGAGGACATGTTGCCGCACGCCTTTCCAGATGACTTAGCTTCTGCCTAGTCCTTTTTTCCCGGGATGCCCACCCTTGGGACCCAGGCACCAAGCTGTGTCCCAAACTAGCCAACGCGGAAAGATTACATGAAGAGGCCCACCTGGAGGGAAACTGAGACCCCCAGCCAACAGTGCGCCTCAACTCCCAGATCCGTGAGCAAATGGGCCTTCAGCTGCTTCCGTCCCCAGCCTCTGAGGTCTTGGGCTCAGGCCCAAACGTATGTCATGGAGCAGAGATAAGTCATCGCCACTGTGCCCTGTCCTAGTTCCTGACCCAGACACTCTGAGCAGATGAATGGTTATTTTACACCTTGGAGTGTTAGAGCAACGTGTTACACAGCTGGAGTGACTGAAACGAAGACATTCTGAGGGGAAGAAACTGCACAAGTAATAGAATGTCACAGAGCACTGTGAATATTGCCAGTTCCTCGGTGATGGGGCCAAAAAGGGTGACTGCAACCAGACTATGAAAGTCTTATTTAACAAGTACAAAAAAAAAAAAAAAAAAAATTAGACATCCTATTGGCAGGGGAGAACTGTTGGAAGTTTTTAAGATGGGAAGTGACATGCTGAGATCTGCATTTGAGAAAGACCTCTCTGAGATCCGTGTAAAGGAAAGACTAGAGAAGACAGACTTACTAAAATGAGTCCTACCCATGTAAAATTGTGGAATCATCCCTCATGTGACCTGTTTTGTGATTTTTTTCCTTTGAAGGGTTGCCACTGAGATATATACTCGATTTCCCTTGCATGAAAATGCTGGTGGAGAACCACGTTGACACAATCTGCACACAGGTAGGTGTTCACAGCAGCTTTCCTGACCACTGCCTGAGCCTGGACACAACCAAGACGGTCTTCAGTAGGTAAATGGGTAAACGCCCTAGTAAATCCTATTTGGCGCTAAAGAGAAAAGGGCTATCAAGCCCCAGAAAGACACGGGAACCTTAATGTGTATCACTAAGTGAAAGAAGCCAGTCTGAAAAGGCTACATACTATGGGATTCCAACTATATGCCTTTCTGGAAAAGACAAAAGTATGGAGATACAATTAAAAATATCAGTGGTTGCCAGGGGGTAGAAAGGGAAGGAGAAATGAACAGCAGAGTACAGAGGATTTTTAGGGCCGTTAAAGTTCTCTAGATGATGCTATAATGGTGGATATATGTCCTTACACGTTTGTGAAAACCCAGAGAATATTCAACACCAAGGGTGAGCCCAAGTGTAACCTATGGCCTTTGGGTGACAATGAAGTGTTAATGTAGGTTCTTAGGTTCATTGACCGCAACGCAAGTACCACCCTGGTGTGGGGCATTCACAGTGGGGGACGCTGTGCTTGTTTGGAGGGAGGGGGCCCATGGGAAATCTCTGTACCATCTGCTCAATTGTGCTGTGAACCTAAAAAACTACTCTTAGCAATAAAGTCTATTAAAACAACGTTGGGGTGGGGGAAAGGTATGGAGTTGTTAGAATACAAAAATGTTTCCTTACTGCTCTTCTTTCAAGGTTCTGGATCTGGATCCATTTACATCAAGCAGTATTCTAAGAAAACAAAGCAAGCTGTCTACAGAATTGTAACCACTTATAACTAAGTATCCATGTGAATAATGCCATCCTTGTGCTACAAATATCACCATGACCGACAACTTCTTGTTTTTGTGTCTATTAAAATATCCTCATAATTCTCACAACTCGTTTAATAATAAAACTATATAAACATGAACTTGTAAAATAAATCTATAACAATGAGCTATAGTTTTTATATTTTGGATATTGGGGCTCTATTTAAGGGGGAAAGTGAGGTGCACGGTCCAATACCAGGAGAGAGGATGAAGCTCAGAACACAGGGGGCCACGATAAGGGAAAGGACGCCTGGGGACGGACAAGAGCCACGACCCAGGAGGGGGTGAAAAATACTAAGGACAAAGTTTCATTCTCACTTTGGCAGATCTTCCATTCAATTTTTTGAGAAATTCGAGAGGAAGAATGTACTGAAAATTGAGAGTTCACGGAGAACAGAGACAGGATGGAGTGGCGCAACAGTGGCTCAATCAGATCTCGAGGAGCAGAGGAGCCCAGCTGGGACTTAATGGTGTAATTTACCGGAGGCCAGTTTTGTATCATTTTGTACGGTGCCCTTCTCGTATGTGAACTATTCGAGAGGCGATTAACCAATTTGTGGGATGCCATGCATCTCACTTTTTCATCCAATGCTTGCTTCTGAAAAATGTCATAATTTAAACTCGTTATCAAAGAGAAGTTAACATACATGAGAAAAGGAACTAAAATTAATTTTTCTGCTCTTAACCATTTGTAAAAGATTTAAGGTTTGTCGTTAATACTTTTTGAAACAGTGAAAAAAAAGAAAAATGGAGAAAAAACACATTGAAACAAATGGTAAAATAAGATTATAGAATCACATGTGGCTGAGCTTGCCAAGCTAGTCCTGTCCCTTATTGTCAAAGTTAAACTAAAGCTGCTGTTGCTATATTGCACAGACTAAAATCTGATGAAAAAACACTCCTGCCCAGTGTTTCTTATTCATGTTTTTGAGCAACCTTCCGATCTGCAACCAACTCACCTGTATCCCAGAGGTTACAGACTTCCGCTCGCCCTTCTGACAGCCACGCAGTTGATGAGACAAGGGCTGAAGGGGCTGTTGGTAAAAGTGGCTTTGGATCGTCATCATAAAATAGCATCAGGTCCTTAGAGAAAAAAAAAGAGAGCACATTAAAGTTGGAAAAAAAAATCCCATTGCCTCAAATTGTTACAGTGGGTGGACAATTTATGGGGACACAGCCTATATGTGCTATATGCAAAATGTATATAAACACATTTTGGTTGAAAGAATTTATACATAAGTTATCTATACACTTGGGTGCCCACTGAATATAGGGTGATCCAAATAAAGTCTATATATAGTAGGGCTGGTTGATATGCCTTTTTTCCCCATGAATAGGGATTTTTTATTATAGAATAATTAACATATAGTAAATGCATAAACCTTAAGTATAGAGCTCAATAACTTAAGTTTATGTGTATACCTATATAAGCAGATTTCCTTCACTCCAGACGTTTCCCTCAATCTTCTTTCCAATAGATACCATCCCGCCACCACTAGTAAACAATTCTATCTTCTATTGCCATCAATGGGTTTGCCTGTTCCTAACTTCATGTAAGTGTAACCATATGCTATGTATTCTTTTGTATCTGGTTCCCATTGCTTAACATAATGGTTGTGAGATTCATGTATATTTTGTGAGCAAGTAGTCACCCCTTATCTGTGGTTTCATTTTCTGTGGTTTCAGTTACTCACGGTTGACCACACTCCAAAAATATGAAATAAAAAAATTCCAGAAATAAAACAATTCATAAGTTTTAAATGCTGTGCCATCCTGAGTAGTGTGATAAAATTGTGTGCTGTCCCGCTCTGTCCCACCTGGAACGCCAATCCCCGCTTTGTCCAGCGCATCCTTACTGTGTACGCTACCTGCCTCTTAGTCACTTAGTCTTGGTGATCGGTTTGACTGTCATGGTATCACAGTGCTTATGTTCAAATAAATCTCACAGCAGGCTCCTGTCACGTCACAATGCCTACGCCATCCCCCTGCGCCTCATCATGGAGGCACTGCATCAGCTCACGGCACCACAAGGAGATGGGTGAGTATAGTACAATAAGGTATTTTTGAGAGAGAGACAGACAGAGACAAAGACAGAGACAGAGACAGAGACATGGAGACAGAGACATGAATTGTGTCTTCTGTACACAATTCAACTGGGGATCAAGCCCAAAACCTAGGTATGTGATCTGACAGGGAATCAAACTCGCAACATTTTGGTATACAGGACAATGCTCCAGCCAACTGAACCACCCAGCCAGGGGAATGTATCACAATATTTAATCCAGTCTCCTGCTTATAGACATTTGGATTATTTCCAAATTTCAGCTATTAAGAATAAAGCTATTATGAATATTCTTGTACAAATCTCTTTGTGGACAAATGCATTCTTTACTCCTGGATGTTACACAGAAGAATAGCTAGGTTAGGCTAGGTCATAGGATAAGTTTATTGTTCACATCATTAGAAACTGCCAAACCAAGTGATTTGCACTTTTTGTAACTCAGCTTTAATTTTGAATTCATTGTAGATTCACATTCAGTTGTAAAAGACAATAGAGAGATCCTGTGTATCATTTGCCCAGTTGCCCTAGTAAAATGTTGCAAAATCATAGTACAATATTATATCTGGGATATTGATAGCAATGTGGTCAAGATACAGACCATTTTCATCACCAGGAGGATCCTTCCTGAGGCCTTTTTATTACCAGACCTTTCCTCCACAACTACTAATCTGTTCTCCATTTCTATAATTTTGACATTTGAAGAATGTAATATAAATGGATTCATACAGGATACAACCTTTTGAGATTGACTGTTTTTTTAAAAAAAAAAACAAACCTGGCATAATTCCTGGAGATTCATTTAAGTTGTTGTATGTATCAATACTTTGTTTATTTTTATTGCCAATTATTAGTATTCGTGGTATAGACATAAGACAGTTTAATCCATTAAAGGACATTTGGGTTGTTTTCAGATTTTAGCGATTATAAGTAAAGCTGCTGTGGATACTGTACAGGTTTTTGTATGAAAAGAAGTTTTCATATCTCTGGAATAAATGTCTAAAAGCAATTCCTGTGTCACATGGTAGTTGTATGTTTAGTTTTATGAAGAAACTGCTGAACTATTTTCCTGAGTAGTTGTACCATTTTACATCCCTACCAGTTATATACTCGTATATGTGATCCATTTTCTCTACATGCTCACCAGCACTTGGTATTGGCACTATTTTTTATTTTAGTTATTTTGATATTTCACTATGTGTTTTGTATTACATATTCTTAATGGCTAATGATGTCAAACATCTTTTCACTTGCTTACTTGCCATCTGTATTTGCTGAAGTGACTATTGATATCATTTGTCCATTTTCTAACTGGATTGTTTGGTTTTTCACTATTGAGTTTTAAGAGTTCTTTAAATGCCCCAGAAGCATGGTCATTTGCTGGATATGTGGTTTGCAAATATTTTCTCCCAGTTTGTAATTTGCATTTTCACTCTCTTAACAGGGTCCTTCACAGAGCAAAAGCTTTTGTTCTTATTTTGCTTTGTGTTTAATTAAATTTATTGGGATGACATTGGTTAATAACACTACATAGGTTTCAAGTGTACATTGCTATGGTACCTGATCTGTATATTACATTGTGTGTGAACCACCCAAAGTTAAATCATTTTCCATATGTTTGGCCCCCTTTACCCTTTACTCCCCTACCCAGCCCCTCTTCCCTCTGGTAACCACCACACCGTTGTCTGTGCCTACAAGTTTCCATTTTGTATCCCACAGATGAATGATATCATATGGTTCTTGGCTTTTCCTGGCTGACTTATTTCACTTAGCATAATATCCTCCAGGTCCATCCACATTGTTGCAAATGGCAGTATTTCATCTTTCCTTACGGCTGAGTAGTATTCTATAGTAGTATATATGCACCGCATCTTCTTTATCTGATCATCCATTGAAGGACACTTCTGTTCCTTCCATGTCTTGGCCACCATGAACAATTCCTCAGTGAACACAGGGGTGCATATATCTTTGTAAATAAATGTTTTCACATTTTGGGGGTAGATGCCCAGAAGAAGTATTGCTGGGTCATATGGTAACTCTATTCTTAATTTTTTGAGGAGCCTCCGTACTGTTTCCCAAAGTGGCTGTACCACTTGACATTCCCACTAGCAGTGAATGAGGGTTCCTTTTTCTCTACCACCTCCCTAACGTGTGTTATCACCTGTCTTGCTGATAATAGCCATTCCAGCAGGTGTGAGGTGACAGCTCATTGTAGTTTTCATTTGCATTTCCCTAATGGTTAGTGAAGTTGGACATCTTTTCATTTTTGTTTTGTTGTTGGTTTCCTTTGTTGTGCAGAAGCTTTTTAGTTAGACATAGTCCCGTTCATTTATTTTTGCCTTTACTTCCCTTGCTTTAGGGGTCAAATTCATAAAATCTTCTCTAAGACCAGGGTCCGTAACTTTAGTACCTATGTTTTCTTCTATGTAAATTTGTTGTGTTAGATCTTACATTCAGGTCTTTGATCCACTATGGATTAGTTTTTGTACATGGGGACAAAGTGTAATCTAGTTTCATTCTTTTGCATGTGGCTTTCTAATTTTCCCAACACCATTTAGCGGAAAGGCTTTCTTTTCTCCAGTGTGTTTTTTTGTTCCTTTATAAGAAATTATTTGCTCATATACATGTGGTTTTATTTCTGGGCTCTCAACTCTGTTTCATTGTCTGTGTGTCTGTTTTTCTGCCAATACAATGCTGTTTTGACTATCATTAATTACTCTGTGGTCTAATTTGAAGTCAGGTAGTGTGATACCTTCAGCTTTGTTCTCCTTTTCTGAGATTGCTTTGGCCACTTAAGGTCTTTTGTGGTTCCATACACATCTCATGATTTTTTTGTTCTATTTCTTTAAAAAAAAAGCCATTGGGATTTTGATGGGGATTGCATTAAATCTGCATATTGCTTTGGGTAATATGGACATTTTAATTGTGTTGATTCTTCCAATCCATGCACACACTATTTCTTTCCATTTCGTTGTGTCTTTTCCATCTCGTTTACTAATGCTTTATAGTTTTCGGGATATAGGTCCCTTACATCCTTTGTTAAGTTTATTCCTAGGTATTTTATTTATTTAATTTATTTTGCAATTGCAAAAGGGATTTTTTTCATTTCTTTTCTGAAATTTCATTGTTAGTATATAGGAAAGCAGTGAATTTTTGTACATTGATTTTGTATCCTGCAGCTTTACTGTATTTATTTTTTAATTTAATTTTACTTTATTTTTTAAAGATTTTACTTATTTATTTCTAGACAGGGGGGAAGGGAGGGAGAAAGAGAGGGACAGAAACATCAATGTGTGGTTGCCTCTTGTTCACCCCCTCACTGGGGATCTGGCCTGCAACCCAGGCATGTGTTCTGAGTGGGAATGAGCCGGCGACCCTTTGGTTTGCAGGCCTGCGCTCAGTCCAATGAGCCATACCAGCCAGGGCTGTTTATTGTTGCTAATAGTTTTTTTTTATAGAGTCTTTAGAGTTTTCTATATAAAATATCATACCACCTGCACAAAGTGACACTTTTACTTCTTCATTCCCCATTTGCATGTCCTTTATCTCTTTCTCTCCCCTAACTGCTCTGGCCAGGACTTCCAGCTCTATGATGAGTTACAGTGGTGAGAGTGGACGTCTTGTCTTATTCCTGATTTTAGAGGAAAGCTTTTCAGTTTTTCACCATTGAGTATGATATTAGCTGAGGGTTTTTCACCCTCAATATGGCCTTTATTGTGTCAAAGTACTGTCTTGCTACATCTATTTTATTGAGTGTGTTAATCAATGGATGTTGTATCTTACCAAATGCTTTTTCTACACCTATTGATAACATCATATGATTTTTACCCTGTTTTGTTAATGTGGTATGTGACATTGATTGATTTGTGTATGTGGAACCATCCTTGTGCCCCTGGAATGAAGCTCACTTGACCATGATATCTTATTTTTTTAATGTACTGTTGTATTCGATTTGCTAGTTTGTTTAGGATTTTTGCATCTGTATCCACTGGTCTTTAGTTTTCTTTTTTTGTGTTATCCCTGC